GCAGGAATCAGATTTGTTCAGGCGTTTCTTAGATTGCAGGCCGCCCATAGTTGTCTTTATGAAAGATACAAAAATGTACGGAGTACTTAGCTTCAGTGGAGATGTGGTTCTATCGAAGCTCAAATCCTTACTGTTGCACTCTTCAAACTCTCTGCTATTTTTATACCTGAGTTTGGTAATTTCTAAATAAATTTTTGCTAACAAATTTTTACAATTGAAGGGGCGTTTCTGAAAAGTTAACTTCTAAGCGCAGGTAGCGGCAATCACCTAACGTTGGTTCGTTCTTTCTTCTTCGCCATTAACGATTTCTTCCAAGTAATGATTGCAGACAAGGCGTTTCCTACCTCACTAGTTGTAAGGAATGCGGGTGGGAATTTAATATACCTCTTTTGCGTGGACATAATTTTTGGCAAGTCCGGCCACCAGATGTGCTGAATGAATACAAAGAAACCAAAGTACTGGAAGGACAACGGGAAACGTCGACTAAATAATGCATCGTCCCCATTTTAATTGCTTTACTAAATTTACTGTATTGTATGTGTTGTAAAATGCTCATGATAGCCGTCGACAAAAAATATTGAGTATTGCAAGTTATAGCAGATGTAATCGGGTTGAATTATACACAATGTTGTAGATCTATATGTATATACATCTATGTATATTTAGGAATATAGAAAAAAATTCTAACTTAATCAATGATATTTGTGAATTGTAACAAACCCGTGGTCTCCTCAAATTGTCATTGAAAATGGTTGAAATTCTTTTGAAATACTGTTCAAAAAAATTTGTATTTTTTCTTTGTTTTAAATTTAGTTAGTACATCATAAATCAATCGCTGTAGGTTGTTGGTTATCAGAAAGCGCAGTTCTCCGATTATTTGTTTTGACAGATTATTTGTTTTTTATTCAAAATTTTGTATGAAGATTTTCAGATTTATAGATCATTTTTAAATCTGTACACAAAATGAAGACTTTTTGAAAGAAATTCGGTCTCTGGAACACCGCCTTACCGAAGTACGAAATGCCCACTAATTGAAACGTCAATATTTACTAGCAAAGCGCAAGTAGCGTGCCATGTGTTTCACCTTGATTGAGTTCTTACTTTTCGCAACTAAGTTAATCGACATAAAACTAAAAAAGTTTAGCGCAAGTTATTGCTGTGACCTTACCAAATCAATCACTTATGAAAGTTACTTAAGTTCGTCGCCAGCAGGAGGGCAGAAACATTTCAGCGTAAATTAAAACTTGGCCAAAAAAGAGCAATCGGTGTCAATGGGAAAAGTTCAAATAATGAGACGAAAGCAACAACAGAATGAAGTTGGAAAAAAAAATCATTGTTCGGAAGTGTCCAACTGAAAACAAAAACTTCAACGTTGTCGCATTATCGATTTCTGGCCACGCACTGATTTCACTGAAATAGTATGCAGATGGCCTTCCATTCCCAAATAGAGTGAATACAAGTTCTTGCAAGTCGTACTACTGACTTAAGAAATTGGTGGTTATCGGGTTGCATGCACACTTTCTGCCTTAATTGTCCCTTTTATCAAAGTTGCTGTGACTTTGGCTGGCAAATTTGTGGACGGTTCGAATTCAAATTTCAAAGTATAAATACATAGCTATGCAAGTTGAAGTGAAGTTTTTTACGCTAATAGAAACCAAATTTTATTTCCTGTTTGACACTGCAACCGTCTAAACAATGATGGCTGTGGCCAAGAAAGAACGCTAGTTGTTTCCCCCCTCCCCGTGCCACATGGTGCCAGTTGGAAATGCAAAGTGAAGTCAATTCCCTCCCCAAGGGCCCTTTCACCACAGCGGAGTCCTGTTTCTTCGGGAGCTGCCGACATCGAGGTAAAAATTTTATGGCTAGAACATTTTTGACCGGGCGAGCGGAGCAGAAAATCTTCCGTAGAATCTTTGTAACCAGAAACTCCTAAGATGTTGTCACTACTCCTTCGAACTTATAGCTGTGAGGTTTGAATGCGCTGGCTGCTTCTTTGATGCAAATACTTAGTGTCCTGGTTCACCTAGTTCAGTAGCTTGTCTTCAAATGTTCAATCAGGAAAAGGAATGCGCCGATAATTATAGAAATTCCAAAAGGATTTTGTTCTGCAGCTTTTAGATTTTCCCCCGCATCAAATTGAAGAATTCCCACGAAAGCAGGTCGACTTGCAAGGACAAAGAAGAAATTTCCCTAGTCTTAAAAACTTGCTTCGCCTAATTGGGTGATAGAGTTTTCGCGCGTTTTACTGTTCACATTTTAAAGTCCTTCGCACTCATTTATTTCGGCCTGATACTTTTTGTTACGTAAAATACGTCTTTACTTTCTTTTCAGCTCTCTATATCGATAGACTATGATCGTCTATCACAACGTTTACGCTTTAGTTTATAGTCTCTCGATCTGGAGACAGCCATGCAACTAGATGGATCATCCTTTGTTGGAGCCGAGTGCTGCAGACTAAATAACTTCGGCCTCAGTTCGTTATTGGATCTTCAGTCGTGGAGGCTGAATTTTCTGACGGTGAACCCAGAAATCTCGTCTTTCCCACCCCGGTATTGAGATCGTCTGTCAAAATTTTGGTTTTGTAACGTGAACAGCGTTCGTAAATGCGCTCCAAGCGGTCAAAGGTCCTTCATCATCCTTTTATTCGGTCGGGTTGTAGGTGTAAGTGAGCGAGGTGTTTCAGGATCTCCCTTTAATGCGAATTTTCCAGAGACGCGACAGTACATGAATTCGATATCTATCTGCCGCCGAATTGGCAGTCATTTAAAAACTACAAAATAGTTTCTGCATATCTAACTTAATTTGTTTTTAGTCTATGGCGTTCTTTCACCACACTACCGCGCTTCTTATATGGAACAAACAGCAAGTATTGCATAAAACATGGTAAACCGAAATACGATGAAGCGCGGCAAATGATAACTGCCACAAACAAAATTCAATTAAGATTAAACATAAGGTACATTGATTTTTAACAAATAAGTTGATTCGTTTTCGGGGCATAACATACAAATTCCTCCCCCCACATGCTGTTTCCACTACCGTGGTACGTTTACCAACCGTACGAATTAAATTTTTTTTGAAACCCAGTTTGACAAGCCACAACACCCATGCAGCCTTAATTCAATGGAGTAGAAGTCCAACGAACCTCAAATTTCCGGCAGCACTTAAAATATCCACATGAATTGCTGAATTCCCAGGGAATTAAAATCTGCATGATTTCATGCATGCATCCATACATACATAGTTATGCTTATAACATGATACAAATGTACTATATATATTTATGTACATATGAATGTATGTGTACATGAACATTAAAAATTTATTAAATAAACGAGAGAACCCACGAGAACTGTGAAATAAATGAAGTTTCACACTTTCCAGTTGATTAATTTACATCGCTGAGTTGGCAAAAGTTCGAAGAAGAAAAAAAGTGTAACATTTTTTTTGTACGTAATTAAGCCGGTTTTGCTGGCTGTGCTGTTGTATTTAGAGGTCATTAAAAATTGAGCAATGAATATCGCAAATATTAAGTTAAATACCAAAATTGCGAGAGCAAGTAGGGGGTAAATTTTCTGAGTTTATTTTCCTTTACTATCGCAAAACTTATGTTTGTTTATGCTTCCCATAATAACTGCATTATTAGTGAGGGCGGGGTCATTCATTTCCTTGTCGTATTATACGAATATTGTGCGCTACAGAGCGCAACTTGGAAATAGAAGCAATAAAGTGGCAAATTTTGCACAGTTGGGATATTTGGGACTCAACATAAGCGTAGGTTCAACTAACTGCACTAACCACACTATCATGCAACTTTTAGTGGCACAGCTGTGTGTGAACTTTGCACATAAAAATGTGTATACATGCACTTAGATTCGGTACGAATTTGATTGACACCCGCGGCTATGAAATGCATCGAATTTCTCTGCGGTTAATATTACAAATTCGGGTGGATCTCAGAATATTCCAACATTTTGACCGCAGCAAAATTTAGAAATTTTTTTGTTGCTGCTGTTATGCGCACTTTGTATGATATGTCAAAAGTTTCGTGGTTCATCGCATGTGGCGCCGGTAGTGGTGACTATGACGGTGACATATAAATAAATACACATGCATGCACATATGTATGTAGGTATGTATGTATATTAGGGCGGGTCAATTTGTATGGGAGATTTTTCCGACTATGCGCGTATAGCACAGAAGGACTTCTAAGCAAATTTTCCGAAGAAAAAATGGGTCTAAAATCAATTTGGGGTTTGCCAAACTGCGAAAATAGGTTTCTTAGCATTTTGCTGTAGTGTCATAAAGAAGTGCTTACATTTTGTAAAAAAAAACATGTTTTAAGGAGATTTTTGATTTGATGAATCTATTTCTGCACTTATCTTTTTCATAAAACCTCCACCAGAGGGCGAAAATTTTCACTTCGAAACCTATTTTGACAAACTCCAAATTGCTTTTACACCCATATTTTGTTCGACAAATTTGCGTAGAATTTTTCTATGCTACACATGCTTTGTCAAAAAAATGTACCCGCTCTAATGTATGAATTGAAAAAAGCTTGTAAAAAATTTCGGTATGATTTTCAATTCAATATGCATTTTGAAGGAAATAAATATTTATAGAAGTCAGTATATAGTTTTAAACTAATTTGGGTTTCGAAATTGTGTATGTAAATCGATAACAGATTGCAGACGACT